GGGCAGTAACTGACACAAGAGGGGAACAGAGCGGATATGTGCTACCGGAAGAGTCCCATAAGTTTAAGGAATGTGACAAGAAGGGGTACACCAAATCACCAACTCCATTTGCAGAAATTTTGGCCTCAAAATTTCAAGGAACCTCCACCATGCATCATTGTTGCCGTTCTTCAGCCTTTCGGCAAACAAACTGCCTCCTGCTACAACCAAATGTTTCAAATTTTGACTCATTAGTCCAGAGCACTTGCTGCCATTTTTCTGGACCCCAATTCCTATGTTTTTGTGCATAGTTGAATCGCTTAGCCTTGTTTCCATGTTGACGGTATGGCTTTTTTGCTGCAATTCTTCCATGAATACCCCTTCTGGCCATACTTCAGTAGATGGGTGTACCTGGGTCCCACTGATTTCTGCCAGTTCTGTGCTGATGGCACTACTGGATATCTTCAGATATCGACATAAGGTACTGCTGGATTAAGTTTTCTTGACCAACCACTGCATCTATAGTCCTCAGCATTTCCCATTCCTTTGTGCTTCTTCAAAAGGGCTTTAATGTAATGGCAGGAGGAGATATATCTCCATGACGCTCCTTTTCCTTGCTCCCACACAGGTCTGTCACTGTGTCATGATGCTGACATGGAGAATGGAGACTCTACATTACGGTGCAGTTTCTGACACAGTGACATCATGGGGTTTATTTACTAAAGCTGGAGAGTCCCAAAATCAGACTCCCTTCTGCATAGAAACAATCAGCTTCCAGGTTTCATTGCCAAAGCTTCATTGAACAAGCTGAGGTTAGAAGCTGATTGGTTTCTATGCAGAAGGGAGTTGATTTTGGACTCTCCAGCTTTAGTAAATAAACCCCCATGTGTCACGCTGCCGTGCACATCGATCCGGCGCCGTGTTTTGCCTTCTGTCTGAGTTGCTTGGGTTCCTGACTACCCGCCCTGAACCTAGGTATTATTAAGTCTTAGCACCTGTATTAGCATTTAAGCAATGTGTCTTCACATGGAAACCTGACCCCTCTGGTTCCTGTGGTGTTCGCCGCTGCTTGAGTATTCCCATATTCTGTGTTGTTTGATCCTGTCTTTGTTCTCAGTGTTTTCCCTTTGTCTGTTATATTCCCTTTAGTTTCTGTCCGTGGATCCCTTCAGCTCCAGTTGCTGTGTGTGTCCTTCTCAGCATTGTTTCCTGTTGTTGTTTTCCTTGCAGCCTTTTCCAGCCTGCTGAGTCTTTCTCTCTGTGCACCATTGCATAGCATCCTTCACTCTCCTGCACTTTACATTTGTTCCCTGCATTCTCTTTCCTGGTGTCCTATCCTAGCTTGCTGCAGTAGGGTACCTTGGTTCCTAGTATACCGATGTCCTTCTAGCATGCTATTTGGGTGCACTGTGCCCACATGGATGTGTAGGGAGCCACAATCTTGGGGGCTGCCACGCAACATCCACACCACAAGTAGCTCTCGTGAAGACTGCGTGGTTCCTTAGATCTTGCGACTCTGACATACCTCCACCTGCATGTGGTCACACTGCTCCTGCATCTGTGAGGACCGGAACCCAGGTACACCTGTTTAGTTGTTTCCACTGATTTCCACAGGTGGACATGTCACGTCTATGTGGGCGAGGTGGCATTGTGGCAGTGTGGCTGCAGAAGTGGGGGATCACAATAGGGTGATATGCCCTAGTCAATTGGCATTATGTACACAGCCACCTAGGGGAAGATATTTTTGACTGGGCACAACAAGTCACATGACCATCCCACTTGATTGGGCGGGGTATTTAGGTGTAGAGCGCCAGGTCTCTTCCTCTCTGCTCTTGGTCTGTGGTCATCCTTGGTGATGCGGTCTGGATAAAAGCGCACAGATGTGTCCCAAAGGAAATAAGTGAATGGTATATGTCAACTATGATTGGTGGGGAAAAAACTCACTGCTGCCATGGTAAAAAACACATCGGTTTGTGGGAGGTATAAACAGGAGCCAGGCGCTGTGTAGTTTTGTGATAATAAATAATGTACCTTGAATGGAGGTGTGCCTTTAATAATTCATATGGTAAAAAAATAAATAACCAGCCTGTGGCTTTAGGAAGCCAGGTTCCAAGATGGACGGCCCGTCCGCTCAGAGGGAAGCAGTGGAGTAGAATGCCTGTCAGTGCAGGGACCACGTGTACCCGACGTCCCAGCGTCCTGGATGACGTCACCACGATGTGGAGAGACGGAGGGGGGAACTCTTGCTGGAGCCGCAGCTTTATAAGGAAGAGGCCGGTTGCCGGGACAACATGTTTCGCCCAGCAAGAGTTCCCCCCTCCGTCTCTCCACATCGTGGTGACGTCATCCAGGACGCTGGGACGTCGGGTACACGTGGTCCCTGCACTGACAGGCATTCTACTCCACTGCTTCCCTCTGAGTGTCCATCTTGGAACCTGGCTTCCTAAAGCCACAGGCTGGTTATTTATTTTTTTACCATATGAATTATTAAAGGCACACCTCCATACAAGGTGTATTATTTTTATCACAAAACTACACAGCGCCTGGCTCCTGTTTATACATCCTTGGTGATGCAAGGTTATACGGATAATTGTGCTCCTTATGTTTATTACTTTTTGAAGGGAATGTGCTCCTTGATTTTCTTTTAAGCTCTAAAAACTCTGCATATAGAAAGACAACTTGGTGGTAATGGATACATACATTTTTGCACTTGCCTTGTATAACAATTATTGCTTTCATAAAAATGTACTTTTGATTACTAATATTTCTTTTATACATTTTCTTCTTTCTGTTAATAGATTAATGCCCAAGTAAATTCTAGGCTAATTCTCCTGTGATTTTTAGTGCATTCCATCATCTTTCATGTGGCAGCTAACAGGGCATTCCTTGATCCAGGAGTCACCCTTGTTTTTAACCTCTTTCTTTCATAATGTATATATGTGGCCTCTTGGTGAGTGGGCCTTATTGACGGAAGGCCACATATATGCCCTGCACGCTCCTGGCACAGTTACAGGCAGGTAACAGAAAAATCTCTATTTGCAATTGGTAGCTTTCTGATCATGTGACTACTGTGACAGCTAATCAGCGCAGTCAGATGAACTAAATGCCTGCCTCCACCTCCTGGTGTTTGAAACCTCCTAAAGTGCTGGGAGGTACCGGTGAGAAGGGGTTAACATTATGGCTGACTAAGCTTTTGTACATCAGGTATATGTAAGTGATGGCTTTGTTGTGCATTTTCAGTACATAGTTTAAAGTGTTCTTTTATGTGTATTATTTATTTAAAAGTTTGCACATAGTATTACAGACATATGATCACTTCTACCACTGAAGAAGATATAATATTGAAATATGCTGGGCTATCCTGACTATGACTACCAGAGAATGTTTGGGACTTGGATTGATTTGATTATCTGAGCCATATAATGATGGGTGTAATCTGTTTATAAATGTGTCAGCCTTACTAATTTTATCTGTATGTTTGTATTGCTTTTGTAATAAAGTTACATTGTTTTACTCATACATATTGTGGTCAGAGTGGGGTGCCTTGAAAGCCCCTTTGTACAAATATTGGAGGTTTACAATTGGGTTGCATTTGATTTCTTGTTGAAGAATTCAGCTGCCTGTGGATGGTGTCAAGTCAGCAGATGACCATACTATCCAGACAGACTGGGTCTAAGGAGGTATGCCTATGCTTAAAACAGCATTTGAAACAGAACACCAGTCCTGTCTTCCTCGCATCTAATTTGTTGCTGGATTTCTGCTTTTCCAAAAAGACTTCTCTGTGCGTGGACAACTGTGGGGAAACAGTCCCAAAGCCTCCTGTGTAACATGACATTCCAGGGTGCTGCAAGTGCTGAGGATTCTTAGGCAAGGAAAGAGGAAGTGGGAGCAAGCACCACCAAAAAAGGTACCCGGTTCTCAAAAAAGAAAAAAAAAAGATGTATGATTATTTAATAGGGAGGGGAACCAAATACAGTAAAAGAAAATACGTTTTCTGTGTGAATGTCTTCTTTAACTGCACATCATTACTTTTTGTAATACTTTATTGATTCATTGGAAATAGACTGTATTATTGTTATTAAAACAGAACTTCAGCCAAAAATACCAAGCCAACAATGAATAATCCATAAAAAGATAACATAACAGTTTTTTGCTGTACTATTCAGCTTCAATCCAGAGATTCCCCCACCACAATACTTTTTTTCTGCCACTGGATGTCTTTGGGTTGATGGTCAGCATTTTTTTAACCCACTCTTCCGAGCCTGGGCCATCCTGGCTTCACCCCACCCTGTGACTGTACAGTGAAAGGAGAAGCAGCACAGTGAGGAGTTCATCATTCTGCTTTCTCTTCCTATCAGCATGCTTCTTGTCAGCACAACTGATTGCCTACTTGTACTACTTCTTCCTCTCACACACCAGCTTTGCTATACAGGGACTGCAAGAGGCTGATACCAGGTAAAATTCAAGGACTTACGCTTCTTGCATTAAAAAAAAAAAAAAGTATTAATGATTACAGAATTGCATTAATTTGTGTTTCTCTCTAGAGTTCAGCCCTAAACATTATTATTGTTACTGGCAATATTATTAGTTAGATCTTTATATCACATTGGATAAGTGTGTATGAGACTCTGATCAGCCACTATCAAAAAGCACTTTGATAAAATGAATACATTTAATAAATCAACATTGAACAGTGCATGTATGGCATAGTTATTTGTTTTCTATTTCATCTGCCTGACCACCCTGCATACAATATGACCAAGAACCATTGTATTGTCTCAACAGTATAAATAAATCAGAATCAATTGTGGATTAACTCTTTCAGATATAAAGTATTGGTTCTATTTAATTATAGTATAAGTAACTAAGTGCACTTTAAATGTTTACTGTTGTCCACTCCTTTAGCTATTTTCTACGAACTTTCACAATGCACAAAGTAATACATATAATTATACAGATTAGAACAACCGATGAACACACTATTGCAACTATTATAGAAGGATTAAGTTATGTCATTATGTTCATTTTCCTCTGGTGTCTCCATTGTTTCCTCTGGTGTGATTTCTCCATCTGGTGTTGTAGCTGCCCCTGGTGTTGTAGCTGCCCCTGGTGTTGTAGCTGCTGCCCTGCCCCTGGTGTGTTGTAGCTGCCTCTGCCTCTGGTGTTGGAGGAATGAAGAGAGCTGCCTGGGCAATATTCGATATGTCCGATCTCTGAAAGGTCTCGTCAATAGCAACTAAGGCAAAAAATCGTATCGTTCCATTTTCAATTGGTACATTTTGTAGCACAAATGAGAAGGATTCCCTTGATCCAGCTATTTTTGGGTTGACACTGGTCATGTTAACCTGTAATGATGCATAAAAGTTGTCTCTTAAATCTTTAGGGCTTTTGCTCATTCTTAAATCATACTCTGAAGCTGGAAAAGAAAAGATAATCAAGTTAGATTCTAAAATCACTTCCGCAATTTATACATTTAAACCCAAATCACAACCAAACATTTTTTATTTTTTTTTACTTTTGGACAGTGTAGGGGAATTTTCTAATCTCTGCCAGGTTTTATGCTGTTGTTTGTGTCCTTACTAGAGAGATTTCTCATCCCTTCTTGCCCCCCTTTTTTATACCATGGAAAAGAATTAGGCCTTCTGTCTGAGATTTCAGCTAATTTCATATCCGGGTGAAGTTCTGTGTGTCAGAGTTTGACAAGAGCCAGTGGAACAGAAAGTGAGTGGGAAACCTCATTAATCAGGACACGAGTAAAACATAGAAGTTCTATGTCTACACAAAACTAAAAATTTGTGCCTGCAGTTAAGCCCCAGACAGTGCAGAAGCAACTTCTTTTTTAAGATCCCATTGGAAAGCCCAGTGACATCACCCTCACCTATGGACCATGGACAAAATCTGTAGTGTAAATTAAATGTATTTTTTTTTATTTTTCTACTAATGTTTGATTTAGCTTGTCTGTTTTTACATAGGGAAGGTGGGGGGGGGGGGGTTAAAAGATAAATGGACCTTTCATTTCTATGTAAGTTGTGATTTAAAGTTAACATCTGTCCAAACTATCCACAATAAAGTATTTCCATAGTCTGAACAAGCAGTAAGAACACCTTAAAGTAACTCTCATTTACCTCTGTAGCTATAGGTATTGTGGAGAATTCATCCTAAAAGTTCACAAAAGAGGTAATGAAATTGTAGCTATCACCCTATTGCTTTTTTTTATTGCACCAGCCCTATAATACTAATACATATCTGTTAGAAAACAACTAAATTCTAGCCTATGGGTCTTTGGTGTAATCTTTGAGGATCGTTGAGAATGAATTACTTCTACAAACAGCTAGAGAGATCAGAGATGGTTTGTTTCAAAGCTTTGCTTAGCTGCTTGTTTAGAATCCATAAATACTGTGATGTCCAATAGTCTAGTCTGCAGGTGTACTTTAAAGGGTAGTTCCACTTTTGTGGGGGAAAAAAATAGCAAATACAAAAATAATATAGCGTATACAATTGCGACTCAAGTCTTATTGTATTTGAATGTTATTAAAAAACGACCTTTCCTTTTTTAACCACTTTCTCGCCACCCTATAGCAGAAATACTGCTACAGGGCAGCAGGGGTGCGAAAAATCATGTATATATATAAATATATATATATGTGATTTTGCATATCCGGGTAGTGAGCGCGCGCGAGCACTATTCACGGCCTCAGCTGTCAATCACCGGGTTCTGGGTGGTGATTACTCACTAGCAACCAGTGATTGCCGAGTATTCTTGACGGGGGGAGAGAACTGTATGCAAACGATATAGTTCTCTCCCCTGTCAGCTCCAGCACACTGCTTTGTATGGCTCTGCATAGCAGAGCCATACAAAGCGGAGTACTTACAGTTGAAAGCACAGACACAGCTTACTGTGAAACAGCACACAGTTAACCCTTTGATTGCCCCACATGTTAAACCCTTCCTGCCCAGTGCCATTACTACATTGTCAGTGCTTTTTATTAGTACAGATCACTGTATTGGTGTTACTAGGGATGTCAGGGACACCAAGTCAGTTCCCTCCAGTGTCAGAATGCTTGCCGCAGTCCAACTATAAGTCACTGATTGCCGCCATTACTAGTAAAAAAAATTATTCTACACTGCCATTTGTAAAAGCTATAACTTTCACGTAAACCAATTATTAATTTACACGTATAGGGATTTTTTTTTAGCAAAGATATGTAGCAGAATACATTTTTGATTGAATTTATGACTAAATTTGTTTTTTTTATTTTTTGCTGGACATGTTTAATAGCAAAAAGTCAAAAATATAGTATTTTTCTCAAAAATGTTGTTTTTTTTATTGGGCAAAAAATAAAAAAACGCAAAAAAAACAATCAAATACCACCAAAAGAAAGCTCTATTCGTGGGAAAAAAAAAAAGGACATGATTTCATTTGGGTGCAGTGTTGCATGACTGCGCAATTGTCAATTAAAGTAACGCAAAAAATGGCCTGGTCAGAAAAGGGGATAAATCCTCTGGAGGGCAAGTGGTTAATCTGCAGCCCTGTAATTTTCTGTAAAATGCAATGCAATATGATTACCTGGAGGAGTTCTGTACACAGATGGTGTACAGAACGCCCCCTCAAAATGTTAGGCTGCACTAAGATACAAAAAGAGAAATAGCATCTAGAGCAGGGGTCTCGAAACTATGGCCCTTCAGGTGTTGAGGACCTGCAAGTCCCATGAGGCCTTGCAAGACTCTGCCAGCCACAGGCAAGACTCCCAGAGGCAGAGGCATGATGGGAGTTGTAGTACTTCAATAGCTGGAGGGCTATAGTTTGGAGACCCCTGATGTAGAGGGTTTCAGACCTTGCCAATTTCCTTATTAGAACCCTGTAGGTGCAGCATCTGATTGATAATTATAAAACCACTCCCATACAGATTCTCTCTGCACCTGGACACAAACAGCTGATTCTTCAGAATAACAAAAGGTAGGAATCCGCAAAAAAGTTTGCTAAAATCCTTGCAATGTACATAGATCACAAAGAGGGGAATGTTTTTTCTCAACAATAGTGGAGTTACTCTTTAAGCAGTGTTTGTTTGTATAGGATTAACACGTTTGTGGAATCATATTTTCCATATGAAAAATTAAATCCAAACTGTTATGTCTTATAACCGTTCGGTAATTCACTAAAGCCAGATAGAGACAGCAAACTTGTATGTCAACTGACATCAGCAGCAAAACTAAAATGGATGGAAATGTATATGCAGCATGAATTGGCCCTTAACCAGTGCTCAGCTGGACACTGATAGAAGTCACAAGACTATACTGCTATATAACTGATTAGAAAAGGTATTTAGCTTTAGCAATGTATTTTTACAAAAAAAAATTGAATTTGCATGTTGTGTGTACTGTGGGAGACCAGATAAAGTGAATGCAGCGTCCTGGGTTTAGTAACACTTTAATTATAATTGCTAGTAGGTGGCTGAATAGACACATAGGTGGCTGAATAGACACATACCTAATGGCTGAGATGTAAAAAATATGATGTCTATTTTTATGGTTTTAGAATAATATGATAACCTTGGAAATAGGGTATGTTGGATACCTGTAAATTTATTTTAAACTGTGACTGAAGTATTTGACCAAATATCCAACAGACTCTCTTTTTTTAAAAGGATTGAAGATATCGTAATAATGTTAATTTGTGTGTGTTATATTTTAAATGCAATCAAAACATATTTTAATGCAAAGAAATATCTTACCTGTTCCTTCATCCAAAACATTACCAGTGGCCGTCCAGAAAAGGTTAATATGTCCAATTTCTATTTTAGCCTCTAAATCTGATATTTTTTCGGGTTTAAAGATCTTTTGCTTCTGATATAATGAGGCATTAGTCACTTCAAATGCTCCACCTGAAGCTGTTCTAACGAATGCCCCCAGATCAAGACCATCGTCATCAACTGTTACCCTTGAAGGATTCAGCGTGATCGTACCTGCAATTTTATTATAGGTTAGAAAATAGAAACAATGCTATAATCTTGACAACATGAACCCAAGCTTCAGAATCTAAGAAGATATACTGTACTTCAGGTTTTAGATACAAAACTTTTTCAAATTACTAATAAAACTAAAAAGGTAACTTAAATATTTTTTAATAGAGTGGTCAAGTGACCACTTGCTGTTAACTGCAGGGCCAGGGCAGTGAGTGACTAAAACCAGCAGCCCCAAGTCAATACCTGTGACATCTCTGTACCTTTTCCCAGACTTTAAAGGATAAGTTCACATTTCATAACATGTTATTACCCCAAATATGGGTATAACATTAAACATGTTATGAAATGCTCGGCCCCGGCACACCCCGATCCCCCGTTCTGACAGCTAGTGGGGGATCCTCTTTCCCCGCTAGCTGTCAAAATGTAAAAAAAAACATGGCCAAGCAGGGCTCTGCCATTTATTCACAGTATTCTGTGAATGGGAAACTGCAAGTCCCTACAGCCTTACCCCAGTACACATATATGCGGCCGCATTTTGCGTGGGCATGAGAGCCCATTCATTTAAATAGACTCCCGTGCCCCGTGACACGCAGGGAAGAAGTCCCCGCACTTCTTCTGAAAACACAGCCCGCTTGGGAACCTCGGTTCCCAGTACGGTTGCATTTTCCAGTGCGGGCGGTGTGCCATTAGCACTAATGGCACCAGCCCTTGGGTCCGCATTAATCTGTGCGAGTGCTGCAGCTGTACGGATTTTCATGCAGATCCGCAGCCGCACCACCCGCACATATGTGAACCTAGCCTTAGTTGCTGTCGGGTTGCAGTTGGGAGCACCTTGGTAGTTCATTGATTCTTCCTGTCAGTAGGTATCGGCAAGCAGATACACTGACAGTTCTGCAGGAGGCCTGCATGGCATCAGCAATCTCTCAATCGCTGGAGCAATGCTTTACAGGCTCCTACAACAAAAAATAAATGCACATTTTTTTACCTACAAATGGAACTTATCCTTTAACTCCCAGAAGTCATTGCCAAATGTGTTTAGTTCGTAGGCACCAAGTGTCTCCTTTCAAGGTCTACATGGGCATACCAGCAGCCATGCTGTGTGCCATTGTGGCAGCTTTGTGAAGGCTGTGAGAATGCAAATCCTACAGCAGGAGCAGGATGTGTCAATGGCAGACAGATAGTGAGGTAAAATTTCACTAATAACAAAAACGTCTATTAATGTTAGAGGTTGGTTGAGCTGCTACATATTTCTCCTAGTTAGAGTAGGCTGCTAGGTACATTTATTTAGCTCCTCTGTAGGTACAGGAGCAAGGGGTTGATTGCTTTAGGCTGTTCTGTGTCTCACATGTTGCTGTTCTGCTACTTCCCCTTGGCTTCTGGATGATTCCAGGAGTATATTTGGAGGGAGGGCTGATCCAGTACCCTGAATTTTTGTGGATCCCTAGCTAATCCCTGGAGAGGGTGGTCCAGTAGGTGGCTGGGACGTTTATAAATATTTTGAGGCCTGGCAGCCAGGGAGCAGAGTTCCTGGGTCCAGCCATCTGGAGGTCTGGAGGAAACCCCTGTGCTGGGTGCTCTGCCCCTGGGGTAGAGAGGAGCAAGAGAGAATACAGAATTGAGTCTTCAAGTATTCTTTAAACATTAATATATGTGCTCAGTGTACTGAGGTCTATAAAGATCTACACTTTTTCCTTTACTTATTAATTGGTACATCTAACAATTATGTTGTTTTCTCTATCCGTTTAGTGAGTTAATTGGTTTAGATATAATTAAGCCCTTATACCACTCAACCCTTTTTCTAGGGCTTGTTGCGTTAAAAAATAATCCACCTTAGTGCAAGCAGAGGATATTAGGATTTAAATAGCCCAGGCAACTAGCAGCCTATTGGACCTGATGAAGCTGAGGAAATATGCCCATCCGTGAAACCCATTGACGTCACAATGTCAGTGATGTCACACGTGGCCACTCAACACCTATGGAAGTGAAATTTGATTGCAGTGTGCAGACACCGGGCTCTATAACAAGCCAATGCTGAGATCGTGGGATCTGTGTATCTCTGTGTCTTGCCCGTATATTGTGCACATCCTCTTCACACGAGGGAATCCTGTTCTAGTGGTATGTTCAGCAATCTGGTCAACTGGAAGACACTAACAAGTGATCTGTGGGCAGTGTGACACTTGAAGACGTGGATAGGTGAGACTATCTCTATACATTACCAGCGTCCTGTTCCGCTATGTTCAGGTCATACATCCCAGAACCTTTCCTTTAAACATCTAATATATATCTTGTGGTGTGCAAGCAGTATACCTAGGAGCTTGGAGTGGATGGATGGTCAATAACTGATCTTGATGATATGCTAGGCGGTCACGGCTGCAATATCAAACCATACGGTTCCAGCCTCATGTTCACATAGCACAATCCTCATGCAAGATCTTTACTAGACTGTTACCGCACATGATATCACCTGGAACCTTATAAGTGTGTTTAGTGTCCAGACCTCAACAATAGCCAGCAGTCTGCAGATTATAGCCCAATAGCTGGAGGTCTACATTTTGATTCCAAAGATGTTTACATTCTATACCACATGATATCCTTGTTGATATAGTGACAGCTTTAAATGAATTAGGAATTATAGACTGTCCTTATATTTACTAAATTACATTATCTCTGTTGCCAGCCACGGGACGGTATGCATCTTATTTCATCAGTCCTATATTCAGTCTTCCCATAGTTATGTTAAGAGGGACTGGCGAGTTTAGGTTTTTTTACACATTCTTCTCCCTCCTCTCTAATTGTGGCCACCTTGTGTGTGTTTTGTGTTGGTTTGAGGTTAGACAACATTGTCTAAGGGAGGGTCTGGCTGTGTGTTCATAATTTATATTAATCTAATGTGTGACATCTTGTCGTTTTACAAGTGTTTTTAGGCCATTTGTATTTCAATAAATATTACACTTTTTAATATTTTGGGTATATGCCTATTAGTTCATCAAGTAACTTCTTTCTCTTGGTGGGCACACGTTGTCAGGAATGGACTCAGCACTGGTGGTGGGACTCACCTGCCGTGTGGGCTGCAGTACCAGGGCTGACCAGCGGTGCTCTCAGCAGCCAGAAGCTCACTCCTGCAGTCAGCCAACACCTGGGGCTGATTGCAGGAGGTGTATTTAAGGAATGACCAGGCCTGTGATCAGTGCCTTGGTGTATGTTTCCCATGAGCCCCCTGTACCGTGTATCCTGTGTTCCTGTCTTGCTGACTATCTGATTTGTAGCCGACCCTGCCTGATCCTGACCTCTGCTGACTTCTCCTGCTTGATCCCTGGCTTGCTTGACCATCCTTCTGCCTGATCCTCTGTACCACGCTGCCCGCGAGTTACTGAACCCGGCTTGTGACCCTGACTATTCTCTGCCTGCTCCTCCGGTACCTCACTGCCCGCACGTTGCTGAACTGGCCTGCCTGACTACACCTGACGCTACCCAGACGATCCATCCATCCATCCCGCACGGATCTGTCCCTGTTACCAGGTCTGCCAGCCTCTTCACGTCAGGCTTTCCCCCAGTACATACCCTCGGCAGACCCCTCTTCCACAGTTGGGTGCACTCAGGGGCCACGACCTGGTCTCAGTCCTGCGCCAAGTCCATCCCCACCATCAGGGGCTCTGGTGAAAAGGCAGACTGGGGCTTAGACTCCGCGCCCTGGGGAATCCCGTTCTGTGGGTACTAGAGATCCCGCCAGGCGGTGCCTGACAGTACCTATGGCCTGCCTGACCATTCCACCTCTCCAGCCCTGACTACGCCTGTGTTCCCACACATTTCTGGTCATACCCGGATCCTTAACACACGTGTTGCTGCCTTAATCAATTTTTTGTTGTGTTTTTTTGGTTACCGTGAACTACAATTTAGTGGAGTGATGGCGGCCCAAAAAATATTATGTTATGCCTTTTTTCTGCCTCTTTTTTTCTAAAGAGTAACATATTTAAGAGCAAGAGAGAAGCCTCGGGAGTCTGTTGCAGTCATTAAGGTCCCAGTTAGCACTAGCTGATGACCCTGCTAGAGAGAGAGAAAGAGACTGGGTCAGCATTTGGACAAAGAGCCAGGATATCAGGAGTGAAGAAGCTCCATTTTCTGGGACTGAGTACTTGATCCCATTACTCTTTGGAGAAGTGACTGTGGGGCAATTCACACTACAAGTCAGTACTGGGTGCAGCCAGATATTGTGCAAGACAACCAGGAGTGTGCCATTTTCAGAAACTGTGCTAAATTCAGCTAGGAGCAGTGCAAGACAGCCAGAGGTTCTACTACTACTACTACTACTACTACTACTACTACTACTACTACTACTAAACATGATAAAGTACATTGCAGCCTAAGTTGTACAATACAGCTTGCAACTTCTACTGGGCAGATAGAAACCTAAGTCTTCAAGTTCTACAGCTTTTGCAGTTCAAGGTATATAATGCTCCCCATCCTAATCTAAGTTCCTCGTTCCCCAATAAAAACACCAAACCAAAACCCCTGAACTAATTATTGAGCCAGTAGAATAATGCCAAAAATACCATGTGCCTGACTGTGCATGCTGTGAATGGGAGAAATAGGTCCAACTGCCAGCAGCTCCTGTGAGAGTAGCGCTGTGTTACCTTTTCATTTTAGGGTTTTACACACAATTTTCAAAATCGTCCACCTCCATAGTAGCCAGGACATACAGGGAAGGCTAGGCCAGGGTTTAAAATCCCAGGCTGGACAGAATTTGCCCTCCATTGTGTCTTTCAAGAGGAGAAGATTTAAAATAGTCTGTAGCAGGGAATAATAGTATACGCAGAATATTTACACATTTCATTGTCTCTTCCCCTAGTTTGCTGATCACAACTGGGACACATTTTGTTTTTTACATTATTAAAAATATACAAGCACCAGCACCACCGATTTTAGTTCTCTACAGGACAGTGGCAACAATAATTATATTTCTTTTTTGACTGATAAATGCAAAGCTGTTTATATTTTTCATGTTTAAAATAGGCATTGTGATGCAACAATGCACCAAACCAAAACATGCATACTATGCAGAAAGGATGCAGGAGTGGCAAACATTATTTGTGCAGACTATGCAAAAGCCACCAGTCCTTAGGGACTGAGTGGCTCACTTATACTAGATGTGGGCCAGAAAGCAGAAATTCTCCATGATCCCCTAATTCCTTCCTTGGTTTAAATCTAAGTGGTGTTCGGCACTGGTACATACAAAACACTCCTCTGATTTCCTATTGAGAGTGGATTGGAAATAAGGGAGATGTTTGCTGTTTATGCCCAAATGCATATTATGGACCATGAGGCAGTTCAGGATATCACAAAAACAGCTGCATGGATCTGTCTATATCACCTCATTGACTAAATGTTTGTACTTGGGTAGCAATTGACCGGGTGGCCAAACAATGCTCTGGCACCAAGGCCCTTTGGTGACTATGTCTGCCACTTGGTTGCAGTTAAGGAAACTGAATAGAATTCAAATCTGAAAGTTACTCCCAGATCTAACAAGGTGGTATTCGTTTGCTTGTATTAAATTAAGTGCAAATTGGAGCCTCCAAATTTCAGCTTGAAAGTGAGGTCATTAAGGAAGATGGAAGGTCTATACTGTATACATAATAGTCTTCATAGATTTCAGGTCTCTAATTTGCACTTCGGATGATTGCTAAAGATATGGCATGTGCAGCTACATATGGGTGCCTGCATTTGACTTCTAATGCCAGTTTACTTACCTACAGTTCAAAAATAAGTGGTAAAAAAATGAACAAGATGCAATTATAAGCAAATTAAAGGTAATCTTACCATTTTCTATATAACCCGGAACATATAGTGCGTGACTTCGGCGCAATGTCAAACGGCTTTTACCCTTTACTCCTTCAACTCGCACTTTTAGGCTATGTCTCCCATCAACTCTAAAGGCAGTAAAGTATTTTGAGTATACTCCATCATTCTTCACAATATCAGCACCTAAGACAAAAAAAAAGTAAAATAAGAGAATTTAGTCTGCCCAAAACTGATACTTAACCAGTGGTTAGATACTGGCATGCTAAAGCCACCTATAAATTGTGGGTAATACTAGTCTGAAGTTTGATGTCTTATAGCTCTCTTTGTTCAGGTGATTTACGTGGACTGCAGTGTTGCAGAGAATGAGGCAAAGAATTTCTCTAATTGCTTCATAAGTAGCTCTGCAGCAACAGAGCCAAGAGATATTAGTACAACAGGTAGAAGGGGTCAGTGCTTCCTGCCATTTGAAAAGGTCAATAAATGGACCCTGTAAGAAACCTGTGCCACACCAAGCAACTGTGTGTATCTTCCCAGAGGCTCCAACCACTATAAGGGGCAGGCATCCAAGGGGCCCGCCTAACCCAATCCTAGACACTTTCAGTACAGTACATGGAACTGCACTCAATAAGTCTTCCCAGTACTGAAGTGTACAAGACCAGCTTCAGCTTATCTCCTCCCATGCCACGTCCCTCTAATGCGTTTCATCCTCCCACATTTGATCGTCTCTCCCGGGGTTATATACATCATCAGCTGTCAGACCAAATAGAGCTCATCAGAAATGCCCGCAGAGATAAAAGAAGAAAAGAATTAGCGAAGGGCAGGCATGACTAGGCCCAGAGTGGGAAGGAAGACGCGTGAGGGTTAATGATTGTTTAGAGTTGGTAAAGGATAGCTGGGGGATCTGGTTGGTAGAGGAGAGTGTAGGTGGGGTCTCCTGCACTTTAGGGTGGGGTGTTCTGGGGAGGGGCGTCAGTTGGGAGCTGGACGTGGGAGAGAGAGCTTAGGAAAGTCAGGCACTGCCCGAGGTCAGTAGGGGGCCCCATGAGATCCCCCGGGTATCCCCCTTTTTTGTAGGCTTTTTGATTTTGGGCAGGGACACAGGGGACTCATGATCCCTTATTGCCCGGGGGGCCCCATGGGTTGTCGGTCCGCCCCTGCCTCCTGCACACTGCTATGCATGGCTTTGCATGGCAGGGCCATGCGAGGGACGTGTGGGCCTGCTGCCTCCAGGGGGAGGGCCTGGCTGCAGAGCCGGGCTCATCAGAATTAGTTGGGCGGGAGCGCCCATGTACTGGGAGGTCTGCGCCTCCGGAGAGCTTTCCCCCGGTCTCCCCACAAGCCCCAGGGCTCGGCTCCATGATGGGAGCCCCACTCGGGACCCTCTGGCCCCCGATGGCAGGGCGCTCTCCTGCCTCTGCTCCCGGGGAGGCCGGAAGGAATCCTTGTCTTCGGTGGAGTTCCAGGGGCGGGGGTCACTCATCTGGGTAAATTAAGAAGACAAAAGCAGAACATTTACTGTTGTTCATTTCAAAAGCACAGCTTCAAAAAGTGTATTCAGTTAAAGAGCACAGTGGAGTACTGAACCCAAATAAACGGCCTGAAAAATACATAAAATTACATAAAGACAAACATTGTCTCTAATATCATAAATCTGAGCGATCACATATGACCTACATGAATCATAACAAACTCTTTGACAACAAAACATAAAAGCAAAACTCAGCTGAAGCATTTTGTCCCATTCATTGTTTTCTATTCTTCATTGTTAATTTGTTCCCATTTTTGTAACACCATTATAGTGTTACTACACCCACAACAGTAAAATCAGTCTGTATGTGCAGTAAAGCATGCTTGTTATCAGGTTCTCGCCCGGCCTATAGCCAGATGGCGGCCTGCAAAACCCCTCATCCCTCCGGGTGGATGCCATATGGCGTCCTTTCAGGCATGCGCAGTTTGCATGCCTGCAGACCCACGCAGCGGCGGGATCTGTCACTGGCCGTGTACCTTGGACACGGTCAATGACAGATCTGAGTACCGGCCCCGTTGTTTTAATTTTTTCATTTTCTGAAAAATGAAAAAAAAATTACAACTTCAAAAAACTCGCCATGCCTCTTATGAAATATGTCGGACTGTCTACTTTGCAAAAAGTGGTCATTTGGGGGATATCTGTACTGTTCTGACATTCTTGGACCTCAAGAAATGAGATTGGCCATCAGTACTTCAGGACTGATCAATATTCAGATCTATACCATAGTTTGTGAACTCTATAACTTTCCTACAAACTAAATATTACATCCTAATTTGGGTTATTTTCACCAAAGACATGTAGCAGAATACATCTTGGCCTAAATGTATAAAGAACAATTATTTATTTGCAACCTTTTATAACAGAAACAAAGAAAAACTTGTTTTTTTTTTTTTTCAACATTTTCGGTCTTTTTTTGTTAATTTAGCAAAATATGAAAACCCCAGTGTTGATTAAATACCACCAAAAGAAAGCTCTAGTTGTGTGAAGAAAATGCCAAAATTTTAGTTTGGGTACAGTGTTGTATGACCGCACAATTGTCATTCAAATTGTGAGAGCGCTGAAACCTGAAAAATGGCCTGGGCAGGAAGGGGGTAAAAGTGCCCAGTATGGAAGCGGTTATACTTGCTGTGGAACCTAAGGGGTTAATCCTCTGCATTGTGTAAAAAGGCCGTTTGATCCTGTTTTCCCTGCCCCTCCTCTTGTTCAAATGTCCACCTGATAAGACAGACTGAATCCGTAGCCACATGCTCAGTTTAGTGTGTATTGCTAGAGAAGGGTTTTTTTTTTCTTGGGAGAGTGCATGTGATCAGCACAGGGCCAATCAACACTGTCCAGACAGAGGGCAGGGGTTTTGCATCATAGAGCAGAAACAAAACTCCTCCTACAAGCTTTAACCAGTGCTTTGCTGAAGTCACAAGACTGCTCTAACTGCTGATGAGAAAAGGTATTTAGCAGTTTATATTTACTAAAATAATTGCCTTTCCATGTTCTGTGTACTGTGGGAGGCCAGATATAGTGAATGCAGAGTCTGGGGTTTAGTAACACTTTAAGGTCAGCTATGGATATTACTTTGCTCAGAATATCAGTGTCTCTATTTTTTCTGCTCTCAATTTAATCTACAAAATTAGAGTCCCTTATTTATTTGCTACCAACTGGTGCGATTTTTACTAATGTTATTTAATTGGGTCTGGGTTTTTAAGGGTTTTCTTACTTTTTATTTTTAATTTTTTATGCTTCTGTTGAGTTTTGCTATTATGTTTTGTTGCCACATTGGAGTTTGTTATGACTCATGTAGGTCATATGCTATTTCCTAGATTTATGATATTAGAGCAGATATTTCATTGTCTCTATGTCATTGTATACATTTTTCAGGTCATTTATTTGTGTTTACTATTCCAGTGTGCTCTTTATTCCTGGCTCAGTCTCTTAGCACTGTAAATGTATACACTTTCTGCAATTAAAATGAGCAGGAGTAGATTTTCTTATTTGTTTCCTCTAAATTTACCCAGCTGAGTTAGTTTTACGTCTGATGATGCATATAATCCTGAGAGATATGGTCATTCCCACCTCTATAATTAAGCGCATGGGAGGGTGAAATGTGTTAGAGAGCATGGCTTAGGAGGGGACTAGCTGAAGCTGGTCTTGTACACTTCAATATTGGGCTCCACGTTCTTTACTGAAAGGGCCAGTAAATGGTGCCATGGAGCACCAGTAAGGGATGATGTCAGAGGCAAAAATCCAAAATTAACCCTTTAACTGAGCATGCAATACAAATAAGCCTCAGAACTTAAAAACAGAAGCATAGTGTGTCTGTGACTGAGCTGAATAAAATGTTTAGTGCAACTGTTTAATTTAGCAGACTAGCCTTTCCAACTTTAGGGGATGTATTGTCTTAAGTATTCTGGTTAACCTCAACAACCAGATGTGTAATTCTGATTGTTGTCCGTTTCCTAGTACTATGCTGGATACAGCACAAGGTAGGATACAGCACAAGGCAGGTGAATGGAGTGTCCTTAGAACTGTACGCCCCTTGAGGGTTAGGGACTGATGTGAATGTACAATATACAGTCATGGCCGAAATTGTTGGCACCCTTGATATTTCTCCAGGAAATCATGTATTTCTCACGAAACGTATTGCATTAACACATGTTTTGCTATACACATGTTTATTCCCTTTGTGTGTATTGGGACAAAACAAAAAAAGGGAGGAAAGAAAGCAAATTCGACATAATGTCACACAAACCTCCAAAAATGGGCTGGACAAAAGTATTGGCACCCTTTCACAACTGCGGATAAATAAGAATGTTACAAGCATGTGATGCTCCTGTAAACTCACCTGGGGCAAGTAACAGGTGTGGGCAATATAGAAATCACACCTGAAAGCAGATAAAAAGGAGAGACGTTCACTTAACCTTTGCATTGTGTGTCTGTCTGTGCCACACTAAGCATGGACAACAGAAAGAGGAGACGAGAACTGTCTGAGGACCTGAGAACCAAAATTGTGGCAAAATATCAACAATCTCAAGGTTACAAGTCCATCTCCAGAGAACTAGATTTGCCTTTGTCCACAGTGCGCAACATTATCAAGAAGTTTGCAACCCATGGCACTGTAGCTAATCTCCCTGGTCGTGGACGGATGAGGAAAATTGATGAAAGATTGCAACGCAGAATAGTCCGGATGGTGGATAAGCAGCCCCAAACATGTTCCAAAGACATTCAAGCTGTCCTGCAGGCTCAGGGAGCATCAGTGTCAGCGCGAACTATCCGTCGACATTTAAATGAAATGAAACGCTATGGCAGGAGACCCAGGAGGACCCCACTGCTGACACAGAGACATAAAAAAGCAAGACTACAGTTTGCCAAAATGTACTTGAGTAAGCCAAAAGCCTTCTGGGAAAACGTCTTGTGGACAGATGAGACCAAGATAGAGCTTTTCGGTAAAGCACATCATTCTACTGTTTACCGAAAACGGAATGAGGCCTACAAAGAACAAAACACAGTACCTACGGTAAAATATGGTGGAGGTTCAATGATGTTTTGGGGTTGTTTTGCTGCCTCTGGCACTGGGTGCCTTGACTGTGTGCAAGGCATCATGAAATCTGAGGATTACCAAAGGATTTTGGGTCGCACTGTAGGGCCCAGTGTCAGAAAGCTGGGTTTGCGTCCAAGATCCTGGGTCTTCCAGCAGGACAATGACCCCAAACATACGTCAAAAAGCACTCAGAAATGGATGGCAAAAAGCGCTGGAGAGTTCTGAAGTGGCCAGCAATGAGCCCAGATCTAAATCCCATTGAACACCTGTGGAGAGATCTTAAAATTGCTGTTGGGAAAAGGTGTCCTTCCAATAAGAGAGACCTGGAGCTGTTTGCAAAGGAAGAGTGGTCCAAAATTCCGGGTGAGAGGTGTCAGAAGCTTATTGATGGTTATAGGAAGCGACTGATTTCAGTTATGTTTTCCAAAGGGTGTGCAACCAAAATATTAAGTTAAGGGTGCCAATACTTTTGTCCAGCCCATTTTTTGGGGTTTTGTGTGACATTATGTCATATTTGCTTTTCTGCCTCTGTTTTATATTTGTTCCAATACATACAAAGGGAATAAACATGTGTATAGCAAAACATGTGTTAATGCAATACCTTTTTTGTGTGAAATACTTGATTTTCAGGAAAAATATCAAGGGTGCCAACAATTTCGGCCATGACTGTATATACTGTATACGTAAAGCGCTGCATAAATTGACAGTGCTATTAAAGTACCTGAAATAAATAAATATATGAATTCTTCCAAAAATATTTAGAGATAAAATAGTAATTGTACATGTTTCAACAGTGTTTTAAGCTGCTTGTCAGGAGTTACTCTTAACATTAGAATCTGAGTTTATAAACATATAATCAGTAATACTGAATACTGCTTAGCAATAGCTGTGGTAGAAAGGTACTATTTATAAAATTGCATGTTTGTCAGATTATGCACTGCGTTAACATATATATACAAAATAAGCCACACACACCTGGAAAAACAGCAATCAAACTTACTTTGATAATTAACACTTGTATCTGAACTCCACTTTGGGTTGCAGATATTTTGACCACTGACTGTTCAGTTAGTGATTAACCAACCTCATTTCCTCTGCATGAACTTAACTATTTTTACATTTATGATGAGTAGAATTTTTCTCTTTATTTTCTGCCGTGCCCCTACTTTGAATCATGTAATAAATAAGAATATTTACAGTTACCTGCTCCATTATCCAGAAGCTCCAGGACAGTGGGTGCTCCAGACACTGGTTCAATAATTGCTGTGACGTTTGCTCCCTTCACTGGTAACATACCTTGACTCACTGACACATAAACCACCATTGGATAAGGGTAAACATTTTTATCTGTATTCATATGGGCGTTGACGGTAATTGGAGGCACATTTTCATCAGCTGATTTTGAATTCACAATTAAACCTATGGATTGACTTTCTGCCAAAGTATTGCAGAGGCTGTAATCCCATGGTCCCCTCTAGAGAGGAAGAAAGACTAGAATTATTTTCTATTTCCCGAATTATTAAGTATATTAATGTAGAGCTCCATTAACAACTCCGTTAAATAATGAAATGATTGGGCTGAAGGGAATATAGTGTAGGCATTTTTAATCTTCACACTCCTGTTTCAACAATCTTTTGAACTGAATCTTTAGTTTGTACTTGATTTACTCTCCTCTATGCATATTCCTGCTTTTCAAAGAAATCACATAAACTCTCTGGGCTCATTACCTCCTGGAAGCAGAAAGAATTAGCTGCATGACCCTGAACATGTCCTAAACTGTAGATCAGATTACCCTGCTCCACTCATCCTTACTTAGTGCACCTCTATTTTTGAATGTCCATTTATTGACATGAGAAACCAATTATTCTAATAGCGTTACGTGCCACTTTAGCCATCCCATGAATCTAATTAATAGTGCAGTGAGAAGTTACTAAGTTATTGTTAACTTCATAGAAAGAGTTGAGCATGGCAGCAGCCTCACTTTGCAGAGGGCAGACCAGGGGAATCAGTAAGCTCTGGTTTTGGGGTCATTAGCTCCTGACCTCCAGCCAAGTGCCCTGAGCTTCCGGCATGCAGCTATTACCTTCAAGAAAGCCTTATTGGAATTTATTTTTCTCTCTGGGAATATAGGAAAAATGGCAGGAATACAGGTGAATAATCTATTAAGAAGTGAGCAATACTTAAACTACAAAGTTAGAAAGGAAAACAGGAAAATACAAAGGGATTGAAAAGAAAAAAGATAGAGAAAATGGAAAAGGACCAGAGCCCTGGTCACCGTAGCATTCCACAATCTTTAAACATTGGTGAGGTGTCTGTGGATGCTTGGATTTCTTTCCGGACCCTAAAAACAACCCTAGGGCAGACAACAGTATCAGTCACAAAGGACATATGTACTGTTGCATGTAAAGTGGGAAACCATTAATCACCTAGTAATACTGATCTCAGTCTACTATTACACATACACTAGAAGAAAACTCAACCAACTAGATGACTGTCTCCTTATCTTCCTTGCACATACTTTTATATCAAAGTTAAGACTTTGTTTGATACCAGCTACATGTGCAACAGACACATCTTGCTCCATATGGGAATAAATTTCAAATTAGGGAATTCCCATGTATGCTCATATCAGATAAGCCATACTACGGTGTCAAGATTAGTTTGCTTAGGCACTTTATCATTGCGTACGAATATATATTAGATATAATTACACACTTTACACTTATAATTTACCTCCGCTGTTCCAGGAATTTCAAGCCTTGAAGATCTAGAGATTGTGTCATTGGTGAAATTTAATGCAGTATATATTTGTCCTGTGGGGTCTTGTAGATTCACATTTGGAGATGCACTTTCCCAAGTAACTACAAAGAAAGTATAATTTCCTATTGTGTTGTCAATGAATATGCTGCCATTCAAACAGTCTCCTGGTTTAAGGATTGACGCCTTGCTTTCGAGCTGAAAGAAATATATAGTGGTAATTATATATAATGAATTTAAAGTAAACAGATACTGTATACACAAAATACTATAAATCAAAGCAAATACAAGAAAGATGCATGTAATCATGATATATGCCCACTATTTAGACTCCATAGTGCTCATGACAGGTGTAAAAATGCTTTATTTTTATTCAAACTGTACTGCTTCCTTACATGCTTAGAGTGTATTTATATATAAAAAAAATAAAATTTAAAAAATTTAAAAACCAGTTATTCACTCTGTAACATTGCATGTGCATTCATTTTGTGTGAATGTAGGCAAAGGTGAATGTTACTAGGCTGTTTTCTCTCCTGGTCAGATGTTCTTCAGTCACAAGAATTACATCAATCAAGAAAATATCACAATATGGCCATTAGATGGAGTTAGCAATCATAGTAAATAGGTATTTATTTCCTATGGAAATAAAAAGGTATGGCGCCTTTCCTCCAAGCTAAATTGCTACCTGTGCAAAACCATAATAATAATCACATAGTACCAAAAGTAAAACAAACCCAAAATATAGTGAAACCCTATGTATACCTGCACCATATAGGTGTGTTGCGATATTTTAGGGAGCTTCCTGAGGATGCCATGCGGCGAAAAATGTAGAGGCTGCTTACAGTTGTTATATCCAGCCAAATGCCTATGGCATTTGCAGTTTCCGTGATTTGGAATGCACGCCGAGGTCCAGGAAGTGGGACAGCGGTGCACAGATGCTGAGTGTATTGGTGACGAGATACTGGGCACCAAGTTTTGTAAGTGTAAAATTTTTAATACTTTTTATGGCCATGTCTTAATTAAATACTGCACAATGAGAGAGATTATGTAGTTTTTTACTTCCATTTATTTCCCATGATATATATTTTTTTTTTCGCTCTGCATCTAATTCACTCTGTACTATCCTTAGTTCATTATTTATTAGGGTGACACTCAACAACACATACATATGTGTGTTGAGGTGGAAGGTGTATGGACCACATCATATTTTTAGTACATTCAACAAAAAATAAGATCAACATTGTTAACAAAATTAAAACAACGCAAGGGTACGACTTGTAGCTGGTATGCGAATAACATAGGTCTCCTAATCATACTTGTCCACCTTAAATGGGTCCTTTCCTGAGAAACATACAAAGGCTGCCATTGCCGCTTCTCATTTTGAAAATGCTATTTGCCTGGCTGTCATCAATTGTTTAACTTTTATTTCAAAACTTTGAGTCACTGACCTGGAAGAAGTATGCAGACAAATAAAAACAAAGATGTAACTTGCGAGCCACTCACTGCTATTACAGGATCGCAAACATACAACACATCCTCTTTAAATGTGCAAATAATTCAAAAACATAAAAACAATATGTTGCACTCCTTCTTTGAATATTAAATCAATAGATATTTCCAATAAATATATCAAAAAAATCAATATTAATAAACTTGTGAAAAACAGAAAATCATGTGAAATCATCAAATGTCATCCTGTGCTCATCATACAAAAAAATATATAATATAAAAAATGTATAAAAATTAATCAGTCTTCAATGAAAAAAATATATGTGACTTTTCCCAGTGATTCAAATCAAATCAATAATTCCAGGTGACTTCCTTAGTGAGTATAAGATGTGCGCTCACCTCCAGATTAGCCTGTAACAGACTAATAACGCTTTTTGTCCACTCAATGGCACTGATGTTTATTGCACCATATGAAGAGTGGTGGGTCACTCTCAGGCTGTTTCCCGTCTCTTACTCCTGCTGGGATCTTACTCTTATACTGCTTATCTCCTGCTTTCCTTTCCTTGGCTGGTGCCCTCAGTGGAAGGAAAATTACCAAAAATAGTGCTTTATCTTTTTTAAAAAACAGTGCTTTATTTAAGTACTAGTTGCACTCACATTTATATAGTGTAAAAACCACTTTTATATCTCCAAAAAAGATAAAGCACTATTTTTGGTAATTTTCTTTCCACTGAGGGCACCTGCCAAGGAAAGGAAAGCAGGAGATAAGCAGTATAAGAGTAAGATCCCAGCAGGAGTAGGAGACGGGAAGCAGCCTGAGAGGGACCCACCACTCTTCATATGGTACAACAAACATCAGTCCCATTGAGTGGATAAAAAGCGTTATTAGCCTGTTACAGGCTAATCTGGAGGTGAGCGCACATCTTATACTCACTAAGGAAGTCACCTGGAATTATTGATTTGATTTGAATTACTGGGAAAAGTCACATATATTTTTTTCATTGAAGACTGATTAATATTTATATATTTTTTTATATTATAAATTTTTTGTATGATGAGCACGGGATGACATTTTGATTTCACATGATTTTCTGTTTTTCACAAGTTTATTAATATTGATTTTTTGATATATTTATTGGAAATATGTATTGATTTAATATTCAAAGAAGGAGCGCAACATATTGTTTTTATGTTTTTGAAGTATGCATACAAGATTCGACTTTACTCTAAAAATGGCCATACACTAAATGTTTTACAAAATATAGGTAGATTAAAAGTGACTGGTTCATGTGGTGTTGATTAAAATTAGTAAGGAAAGATGGAGACACTTGCTGGTATGTGGGTATGCTATTGTGAAGTAGAGTCTGTGTATTATAGTGTCAAACTCAATGTCATCATGGACCACATAAGCATTATGGTTGCCCTCAAAGGGGTGGTTGTATCTGTAAGACTATATAAATGTATCCAGGACTTTTTTTCTTCGAGAATAGGAGCAGGAACTCAACCACATTCATCACCGAACCTCTCTGAATGGTAAGTGTGGCCAAATTGCACTAACAATTAGAGGATCTTAAAGGGCAATAATTACCAGGAATGCATTATGTGTGGAGTTCAGGAATGCGCTACGCACAGAGTGCAGTTTCACCGATTCCCTATGCACAGAGAAGAGTTCAGAGGTGTGCTGTGTACAGAGTGCAGGGTTGAGGTATGCTGTGTACAGAGTGCAGGGTTGAGGTGTGCTGTGTACAGAGTGCAGGGTTGAGGAGTGAAGTATGTACAGAGTATGTACAGAGTGCAGGGTTGAGGAGTGAAGTATGTACAGAGTGCAGGGCTGAGGAGTGCAGTATGTACAGAGTGCAGGGTTGAGGAGTGCAGTATGTACAGAATGCAGGGTTGAGGTGTGCTGTGTACAGAGTGCAGCGTTGAGGAGTGCAGTATGTACAGAGTGCAGCGTTGAGGAGTGCAAAATGTACAGAGTTCAGGGCTGAGGAGTACAGCATGTACAGAGTCCACGGTTGAGGAGTGCAGTATGTACAGAGTGCAGGGTTGAGGAGTGCAGTATGTACAGAGTGCAGGTTTGAGGAGTGCAGTATGTACAGAGTGCAGGGTTGAGGTGTGCTGTGTACAGAGTGCAGAGTTAAGGGGTGCAGTATGTACAGAGTGCAGGGTTGAGGTGTGCTGTGTACAGATTGCAGCGTTGAGGAGTGCAGTGTGTACAGAGTACAGGGTTGTGGAGCGCAGTGTGTACAGAGTGCAGGTTTGAGGAGTGCAGTATGTACAGAGTGCAGGGTTGAGGGGTGCAGTATGTACAGAGTGCAGGGTTAAGGGGTGCAGTATGTACAGAGTGCAGGGTTGAGGAGTGCTGTGTACAGAGTGCAGGGTTAAGGGGTGCAGTATGTACAGAGTGCAGGGTTGAGGTGTGCTGTGTACAGAGTGCAGGGTTAAGGAGTGCAGTATGTACAGAGTGCAGGGTTGAGGTGTGCTGTGTACAGATTGCAACGTTGAGGAGTGCAGTGTGTACAGAGTGCAGGGTTGAGGAGTGCAGTATGTACAGAGTGCAGGGTTGAGGAGTGCAGTATGTACAGAGTGCAGGGTTGAGGAGTGCAGTATGTACAGAGTGCAGGGTTGAGGAGTGAAGTATGTACAGAGTGCAGGGCTCAGGAGTGCAGTATGTACAGAGTGCAGGGTTTGAGGGAGTGCTGTGCACAGTGTGCAGGGTTCAGCTATTTTTAACAGGCTGTCCACATCCCACTTCGACCCCTACTCAGCTCTGACAACCCCCCCAAAAAGCTTCTTCACATCACAGCTTTTCAAAAAATACCCAGCACGGCTCTAGTACCTCCCAACAGTGTAGGCAACTCCGGCCCTCTCTCTCACTTGCAGCAAGATGATTGGTTGGCATCTGTGCACCCAGACACAGATGGGGATCACATTGCAGCCTACCACACGATGCCTCATTCCACCTATGACCACACTGCACCTGCATCTCCCTTGTCCCCGCAGGGCAGGCAGAGATCTGTGAAAGCCGCAGAGAGGAAAGCTGTCCTTGTAAACACAGAAGGCTTCTGTGTTGTCAAGTGACAGTGGTAAGCGAGGAGTGTGGAGGCGAGAGCTGGAGATTGGGCAACAGAGTTCCGCCAGGACCCAGCTGAAAAAAGCGACACATAAAATGGCCTGGCAGGCTGGATTCGGCCCGCAGGCCTTGTGTTTGACACATGTGCTGTAGATAATATAAAATAAAAATACTTCTTAATACAACATCTACTTCTTTAAGGAGAATGAAACAGAGGAAGTATCGATAGCTACAGTTTGGGAAAGTCATAAGGTATTCATAAGAGGAATCTTGATTGCGGCAGGAGCAAGGAAGAAAAAAGAAAGAAGAGAGAGGGTTAGTGAGCTTCTAAAAGAAATACTGGACTTGGAGCAGATCCACAAGAAGAAAATAACAAAAGATACGAGACAGAGGTTACTGGATAAAAAAGATGAGCTAGAGAGGTTGATGGATGAGGAGAAGAGAAGAGTATACAATAGGGTTTTAAACGAGAGATATAGATGGGGAGATAGACCAGGAAAATATCTAATGAGAGCTTTGAATAAAAAGAAAAATAGGAACTATATAGAAAAGATAAAAAGTCCTAAGGGGGAGTTGGTCCACTCAACTAAAGAGATTATTAAGGTGTTTACGGAGTATTACAGAAAGCTATATAATATTAGTCCCAAGGTTCTCTAAAAGAAGCTCAAGAGGGAATCAATGAGAAAAAGATGATATATTTAAAAACCGCGGGATTACCAATATTAAGTGAAGCACAGTTGAAATTC